GGGAGGGTGGAGGGACAGTGCAAAAGGGGAAGACCCTCTATGAGGTGGATTGATTCAGTGACTGGGGTAATCGGGATGGGTGTGTCAGAGGCGGTGCAGTTGGCGCAGGATAGAGCAGGGTTTAGGGCTGTTGTTCATAGGGTCACTATGAGTTGCCATTGACTCGACGGCACATAACAACAATGATTAAATATTCTGGGATTCCCTTTCTTCTCGAGGTTAGCCACAATTTGATGTGATCCACACAGCCAAATACCTTTGCATAGTTAATGAAATACAGATAAACATTCATCTGGTACTCTCTGCTTTCAGCTACGATCCATTTGACACTGTCTGTAATGTCCCTGGTGCCACAGCCTCTTCTAAACCCCACATGCTCACCTGGCAGTTCTCTGTTGATGTGCTAGTCCAATCATTCTTTTTTATAATCTTCAGTAGGATTTTGCTTGTGTGTGATATTAGTGTTTAATAATTTCCACACTCTGTTGGATCACTTTATTTTTTTGAATAGGATTAAATATTAATCTCTTCCAGTTATTTGGCCAGATAGTTGTCCTCCAGATATCTTGGCACAACCTAGTAAACACATCCAGGGCTGCATCTCTTTGTTGAAATATGTCACTTTGTATTCCATCAATTCCTGGGGACTTGTTTTTCGCTAATTCTTTCAGAGCAGCTTCACGTTCCTCCTTTCTCATCATTGCCACTTGATCATATGCTGTTTCATGAAATTCTTCTGTGTCAGCCTTTTTGTTAGAGTGACTCTGTGTGCTCCTTCCATCTTCTTTTTTTTTTTTATTTTTTTTCCTTCCATCTTCTTTTGATGCTTCCTGGATCATTCAACATTTTGCCCACAGTATCCTTAAGTATTGCAACTCAATATTTGAATTTGTTCTCCAGTTCCTTTAGCTTAAGAAATGCTGTGAGAGTTCATCCCTTTTTATTTTCTTTGCACATTTCATTATAATACTTTGTTTTGTCTTTCTGAGCCACCCTTTGAAAATCTTCTATTCAACTTCCCCATTGTGTTGGATCACCTTGTCTGTTGTGTTGTAAATGTGAGAGAGAGCAAATTGTAGATATTGTTGTTGCTTTTGTATTGCTGTTGTGCATTTTTTAGTCCGACCCCCCAGCGAATTTTCAGAGGCAGTTATTTACATGGGAGAAGACAATCTCTCTTTCTCGTGCAAAGCAGCAAGTGGATTTGAACTCCATGCCTTTGAGTTGCCAGCATAACTCCTTACTACAAAATCACCAAGAGCTCGAGAATAAAGAACTACTATAGAGAAAGACAAGTAATGTTTTTAAGTGAAGAAATTATTTTGATTGAGAGAGGGAAAGTGATGATGGCCTCTGGAAAAAAACAAAGTTCTATCATCTTGGTGCTTACTGAAAGTTTTGGGTTTAACTATATTTACACCACTAGCACCACCACCACCACCAAATGTGCAAATATTAATCCCTCTATGTGTGGTTATAATCCACTTTTTAAAACGGCTTTATTATGATACATTAACAAGTCATATAATCAGTGTATATTGCATTTTAAACCAATGACCTTTGAAATGTAGAAAAGAGCAAACTAGACCAAGAGAGAAATGAGAGCAGGAGGAGGATAGATGCCATTCCACATGAAGATTAACAAGCAGTCGAGGGATAAATGCTGAACTGAGCCAAGGGCCTGACTCTGGAGCAGAAAGAGTAAACACATTTCCCTAGAGCTGACACCCGAAGTCAAACTTTCAGCTCCCTGGGTACTGACTGCCATACATGATGCACTCATAACCAGGAGGGAAGCAGTTTGAATCTACAAAGAGTGGTGTGTTTTTGTTGTTGTTGTTTTTTGTTTGCGTTTTGTTTTGTTTAGCAATTAATTTATTTTTAATTTATTTGGGGCTATGTCCTCCAAAGAGGACCATCATTAAAATGGTGATTTCACTTAGTAACAAAGAATAGGAAAGCGGTTCTTTTTTTTTTTAATGGATTTTAATGAAAGTTTACAGAGACTTTGAATTTCCATTGAATCTACAAGGAGTTTTGAGGGAGAAACATGAGGTTGTCTCCACCTGTGAGGAATTACCACCTCAGAAATTAGATGGAGGGCCACCTTGGGTTTGAAGCAATGCAGTAGCAGGGGGCTTACAATAAGAGAAAATACATTTCTGTTTTTAAAGCCAGTGGTAATAATAAAAATAATAAAGGAAATCCTTCCAGTTAACCTTTATCTGAGACCTACACAATAACACGAAAGTATTAATGGTTTGTTAAGCTTCTCATACATAGAGGGCTGAATTACCATGAAGACAAAATTGTTTTTGTTTTTAGCATGAGATTTTTTTATTGAAACACTTGATACTCAGAAAAGCAAATATATGAAATGAGAGAACAGATGATCTGTGATTTCACAATCTCAAAAGCACTAAATACTAACCAATTCTCCTATCCAGACAAGAATTACAATAGAGTATGGTGCCAAAGGTGTAGTAGATTTATTAAACTGGTATTTTCTGTATTAAATCAAGACAGCAAGCAATCTTTACCTCCCTCTTTTGGGAGAAATCACAATGGTGCCTGAGCATAAGTTTTCTCTGTTTCCTCTCTCTCTCGTTCCAGTTTTTCAATCTCCAAAAACAGTTTATATACTTCCAGGGCCAATTTCACATCCTGTGGGTCGGGGAGACACTGTAGAATTTTTCTGCCTGCAAGCACAGCATCACAGCCTTCAGGGACATTCTAGAAGAAACAGAGTGAGTGGCATGGTTGAGTAACTCATCCTTGATTGTGAAAGAGGGGGTGCATCAATGGCAAGGGTGTGCACAGGATCAGGATCAAACCTGGAGTTACAGCAGGGGAAGCCAGAAAAGATTTTTTTAGTATTGTCAGAGTAATCCACAGACAAGCAGAAATCAGTTTGGAAACAACTCCCCAGAAGGCCTCCACACCTCATGAGTCAATGATACAGAAATGGAGCAACAGGAGACTATCTAGTCCAGAAAAAATCATGTTAGGAGCTAGAGCTCCAAAATGTGAGAGAGTCCCTCTCTACTGTTCTTAGTCTTCCCTGAACTATAAAGTTGTGGTTGTTGTTATGTGCTGTCGAGTCGATGGCGACTCATAGCGACCCTATATACAACAGCCCTAAACCCTGCTCTATCCTGTGCCAATCGCACTGCCTCTGACACACCCATCCCGATTACCCCAGTCACTGAATCAATCTATCTCATAGAGGGTCTTCCCCTCCTGTGCTGTCCCTCCACCCTCCCAAGCATGATGTCCCTCTCCAAGGACCTGTCTCTCCTTACAACATGTCCAAAGTATGTCAGACGAAGCCCCAGAATCCTTGTCTCCAAGGAGTAGCCTGGTTAAACCCTCTCTAGGATGAATCTGTTTGTTTTCTTGGCAGTACAGGGTACATTCAATACTCTTCTCCAGCACCACAGCTCAAAGGCATCAATTCTCCTTCTATCCTCCCTAGTCATTGTCCAACTCTCTGATGCATAACAAGTGATTGCAAAGACCATGGCCTGTATCAGGCGGACCTTAGTCTCCAGAGAGACACCAAAAAATTGACCCTCTTAACTCATTAGGTCCTTCAAAGAAGAGGAATTTCCTTTGAATGACCTTCGGAAGCTCAGAAATGACTCCTGAAAAGCTGGAGCAAACCTGTGATGGTTAGGAAACTACTTCTGAGGCAACCACCACTTTTAGGTTATGATAGGACAGGAACGTCCCTGCATTGTGCCACTTACCCACTCACACTTGGACACCTCTGGGGACCAGGTTTTGTTCTCTGAACAACTGATATATTGAGAGCCAACCACACTATAGCCAGGATTGCACTGGATGGTAATATTTTCACCCTCAGTATACTGATACTTATTCACAGACAAATATCCATTTTCAATCTCTGGTTTCCGACACAGAGCTGTAAAGGAAACACAATTTTAAGTAGTCTGTATTCCTAAGAAAAGAGGATAACAGAGAAGTAACTAAATAAGTATGAATTTCATCTGTTGCTGTTGAGTACTGTCTAGTCAGAACTAACGCACATCTGACCTTTCAGCAGGTTTTCAGAGACAGTAAATCACATAGGAGGAGACTGCCCATCCTTCTTCAGTGGAACAGCTGTGGATGTGAACAGCATATTTTTGGGATTGCAGCACAACTTCTTACCACTAGGATAATTTTTGGTTTGGTTTTAAACAATATTTATTACATTTTTGTTAGATATTGACTATATACAGCCCAAGAACCTTACATGATGGTCTCCCTTAGGTCTCACAAGAGTCCTAGGAAATGGCTCTTAATCCTATTTGCAAAGGAGAAAATGTATATACAGAGGTTTTGAAGCACCATAGGTTTCGCATAAACACAATAAAGTGTTCGGGGATTCCCATTTTTCTCAAGGTTAGCCACAATTTGTTGTGATCCACATAGTAAAATGTCTTTGTGTAGTCAATGAAACATAGTCATTCCTCTGGTACGCTTTGCTCTCGGCCAAGATCCATTTGACATTGGCAATCATGTCTCTAACACCACAACCTCTTCTAAACACAGCTTACATTTCTTGTAGTTCTCTGTTGATGTACTGTTCCAGTTTTGTTTTTTGGGGTTTTTTTATAACTTCAGTGAGATTTTGCTTGTGTGTGATATTAGTAATATTGTTCAATAATTTCCACACTCTGTCAGGTTAGCTTTTTTTGGAATGGAAATAAATATGGATCTCTTTCAGTCAGTTGACTAGCTTGTTTTCCTCCAGATTTTTTGGTGCAACCTAGTAAGCATGTCCAGGAGAGCATCTATTTGCTGAAATATGTCAATTGGTTTTCCATCAACTCCTGGGGCCTTATTTTTTGCCAATTCCTTCAGAGCAGCCTGAACTTCCTCCTTCATCCCCATTGCCTCTTGATCATAAGTTATTTCTTGACATTTTTCTGTATCAACCAATTCTTTTTGGTACAGTGATTCTGTATACTCCTTCCGTCTTCTCTTACTGCTTCCTGGATTATTCAATATTCTGCCTATAGCATCCTTAAGTATTGAAACATGAGGCTTGAGTTTGTTCTTCATTTCCTACAGCTTAAGAAATGCTAAGTGAGTTTGGCCATTTTGATTTTCTGACTCCAGCTCTTTGCATATTTCATTATAATACTTTGCTTTGTCATCTTGAGGGTCTCTTTGAAATATTCTATTCACCTCCTTAACCTCTTGATTTCTTCCCTTTGCTTTGGCTTCTCAGTGCTCCAGTGCAACATTCAAAGTCTTTTCTGACATCCATTTTGCTCTTCTTCTGTCTTTATATTAATGGCCTTTTGCATTTCTCATAAATGATATTCTTAATATCTTCCCATAGCTCATCTGGTCTTCATTCATTAGTGTTCAAGATCTCAAACTTGTTCCGAGTTGGTTTTTAAATTCAGGGGCATAGACTCAAGATCAAATTTTGATTCCTGTGGATTCAATTTGACTTTCTTTAGCTTTAATTTGAACTTGCATATGAGTAGTTGATGATGTGTTCTGCAGTCAGCACCTGGCCTAGTTTTCACTGCTGATATTGCACTTCTCCAACCATTCCTTCTACAGATATAATCGATCTGATTCCTGTGTATACAATCAGGTGAAATCCATGTGTATAGCATGCATTCATGTTTCTTATGAAAGGTATTTGCTATGAATAAATCATTGATTGTGCAGAATTCTATCATTCTATCTCCAGCCTCATTTCTGTCACCAATTATGTTTTCTGACTACTGATCTTTCTTCCTGGTTCCCAACTTTTGATTCTAGTCACCCATTATACTTAATGCATCTTGGTTGCATGTTTGATTCCTGACTGCAAAAGTTGGTAGAAATCATCTATTTCCTTTTCTTGTTGTTGGTGCATAAATTTGAATGATAGAGATATTAGCAGGTCTTCCTTGTTTGTGTATGGATATTATCCTGTCACTAGGTAATGAAAATTTCCCTCTTCTTGACAGATTTTCCTTGTATAGTCGAAGATATAAAAGGTAGCCAATAATTCCTGGGTTTGTCATTGGAAAAGAAGTAAGATAATGCATATAAACATGAAGCACAGTTTTTACTCATTCTGCAACCACATCTAGGAACTCTGGTAGAGTACTGCTTATGTATTGCACTACTAACCAAAAAGTGAGTAGAGTCTACCAGTTGCTTTGCTGGAGAAAGCTGTACTGTACAGGATTCCAGTCTCAAACACATGATGGAGGTGGCTGGGACTGACTATATGGCAGATTTATGTTTGGATCACCACAACTGGTTGGCAAATCAAGAATTCTCCCCTACACAGCCCATCACGGCCCCTAATACCATGGACAGCTGGTGTCCTGCATGAGACTCCAAAGGAGACACCTGTCATTTCATGATGGTTGGACTTAGCCCATGGAGCTCACGTTTATGCTAAAGTAAATTTGCATAAAAAAATTTTGCTTAGGCTCACAACTCCTCTCAGATTAAATGTGTTGCATCTACTATATTTTTGAAAATAAATACAAGAAATTAGAATAGGGAATACCTCTGAAGACTCAAATTGTGAGATTGGGAGGGGAAAATACAGAGAAAATTAGATTTTCAATAAATTCTTTGTGCTTTCTGTATTGGGTTCCACATGCATTAATTCATATCTTAAAAATAATTAAACTGGGTATACTTTCTCACTGATGTACCAAATAAGATAATGGTTATCCATGGCAGACAGTGTTTGGTGGCGCTCCCCAATTAAAACAAGCTTGGAAGCAGGAATGGCATCCACTTCCGAAATGGCTTGCCTCCAGAAACTCTATGAACAGTGCTCAGATATTTTCATTCATAGGGTCTCTATGAGTCGTCTACAACTTGACGGCACTTAACAACAACAACAACAATATGCCTCCTCAGGCAAGGAAACAAGCTTTGCTATATGTCCTGTCATGGTTATCTATCTACTTTGTCATGAGCTGAAAAGGAAGCTGAACTTACCTTTACACTCAGGAGCTGGAGGTGACCAGGTTGAAGAATAACAGGTGATTTTAGGCTGTCCAACTAGAGTGTATCCTGTATCACATTCATATGTGAACTCATATGTGAAATAACCACCAGTTTTCTTATAATGTCCATGGGCAATGATAGGAGGGAAATCACAACCTTGATGGTGAGTGAGAAATTGGAGAGAGAGTGGGATTGTCAATGTCATAAAATGAGATATCTTACAGTCTATATGGTTTGTGAGAGGCTCCCCTCTGTCCTTTGTCAATGCTACTTGGATTGCTTGGAAAAACCAAACATTTGTCCTATTTTATAATCCATAGGCCAAGAAATTGTAGAAAAGTTCAAGCTGAATTCAATGACCCAAGGCTGAGAGCTTTCTCCCATTTTCTTAATAGATTCACTAAACTTTAGGCTATTTAGGGGCCATTTGGCCTTCAGACTAGATTCAATCCCCAGGTCACAGTGTACTAGAAATTAACTCAACCAAGTTCAGGCTAAGTGATATGCATCTGGGACAAACTGCAAAAACAAATCCTCAGTCTTTGAGTCCCCTCCTTTCCAATCAAAATGATACATCCACCCCCATCTAGGGTATACCTAATGCATTTGAAAAAATTGTAGAAAGAGTCCCTCAGAATAATAGGATGAGTTGCATACTGAAATAATAAAGATGATGTCATTTAAAGCACTGTTCACCAACACTGCATGGAAAATGGAAATAAAGCAAAGTGAATGCCAGATGAGGTACATAGTGAGGGCCTTACAGGACTGCAATACTAGCATGACTCCTAGAAACATGGAATAGTGGAAGGTCCAGAGTAAGTGAGCATGAAATGGAATTACTGCAACCACTTACAGAAGTAAGATGAAGTGAATCAAGAAATGTTGATTGAAGAATAACAACGACAACATAGAGAGAGCTACATTGACCTAGTGGACAGAAAGTTATGCTACCAAGCCCAAGGTGGATGATTTTAATATGCAGCCCTCAGGCCTGGTTTAAATTGGTTTTTGTCAAACATTCTTCTAAGTGGTATAGCACTGGTCTGTGTATTGCTGTACAGAGGACATGGTTGCTGTGATGCTGAACACTGTGACACCGATGTGCCAAATGTGATAATGGTTACCCATGGTGGACAGTGTTATGTGGAGCGTCCCAATTAAAACAAGCTTGGAAGCAGGAATGGCATTCACTTCCAAAATGGCTTGCCTTCAGATACTCTATGAATAGTGCTCAGGTCTTTCGTTCATAGGGTCGCAATGAATCGTGTGTGACCAGACGGCAGTTAACAACAACAACAAGGCAGATAAACAACCAAGAGTAAAGTTTTGTATGATGGTTTGCAGGGAGGGGCACAATGTTTATCTCAGCTATAAAGGGATCCTTTCCCAAAAGGGGTACCCAATATCAAAGGTCAGACGGGTTCAATAGCAGACAAGAGTTGTTCATGTGCTTCAGATAATACCTGAAGATAATTGTCATCATAAAGGGCAAGTATAGAAAGGTAGCCAGGGCACTTGACAAATATGAAGATGCTGATAGAAAATAATAATGAAAACAGATGGGCACTCTACAGGGATAATACCCAATTTATATGATCAAAATGTAGCTGAGGCTGATAGCATTTGGCCCATAAAAAGTCATAGTATTTTGCTCAGAGTTTGAACATAAGCCATTTTTCAGATCTAGAGACTATTGTCTGTAGATAGTATCAGTGCTGAGATTCTATGGCGCCTTGGAAAGAATGCATGGTAATGAATGTATCAGTTACCTAGAGGATTTATGGTTTTGTGTGTAATAATAACAGTGCATTGGTAAAAGATGAAGGTTATTGAACATAGAACTCAAGTTGGCACCAATACAGCAGACATCATGACCCAGCCATTAGACTATATGGTAGCCTTTTGTCTGATTCCTGAAATAGATCTAATTGCTATTTGGCACAACTTCCATATTAGTTCCTTGGCCTGTAAAGTAACAGTTACCATGTTAAGGAAAGGCCAAATAAAAACCATTAATACTGCCTCTCTCTGACAACCTCGGAGTGAGAGAGGAAGGAGTCATTTAGTGCTGCTCTTAAAAGACCTAAACAGAGGTAGACATAATGAGTCCCTTCATATCTCTCTTTAATTCGCTAGTCTGTTCATTAAGCAGATGACTTCTGATGAATGAGAATAGACCACTGAAAACTTATGTTATTCCAGATGTGATATCTTGCTAGAAGATTAATGGAGTCTTAGGTAAACGAGGCCACTGATTTAGCAAAAGCTATCTTTTCTATTCATATAAACAAAAGAGCCTTAAAAACAATTTATGGAAGGATGCAGATCAGACATTTGCAGATTTGGCCCTGAGCAATCCTTCTCCTGCCCTACAATGATAGAGTTTAAAGACATTATTGGCATCTATAAATCTCACTTAGATCCATGACACCATGTTCATTCTAGGCAGTGAATGAGAAAGGGCTGTTTCTTAGGAATATCTCCCATAATATGGGAGATAAAATTCAGAGATATCTCACACTAGTAAAAATTTTTTGAGCTCTAGGTTTCAGGGCATGCAAGAACCCTGGAATTCATCTAAAGTAAAGTACAACTCTTGCGGATAGTATACCTCAGCAGGAAGGAAGAAATGCAACCCCTGGAACGTCTATTTAGACTCTAGAGGCCTGATCTACTGTACTTGAGAATAATGCTCACACCTATATACTTGATGACATGGAACCTAGATGGTTTTGAGTGAAGTGTATCAGCAGGTGAATTGCTATATGGGAGAAACATTAAATGGGAAGTTTTACATTTTGCATAATACCATGTGACAGAGAGTATTCAACAACTCAGGGGAAAATATCTGCCTATTTAGATCACACAAGTGGATATAACTCACCCACCTTTGGACTTGATCTCATCTAGCTGGCACAAGAAATGTGGCAATAAGGCCAGAGGAGGATGTATTAAGGATAAACATGATTCCAACACCAGGGTCCTCCATGACCACGATTGCTTAACTCTTGCTGCAGTATACTGAATTTCCATCCTGCTGGCAACAATGCCAAATGCTAGCTAAAGAGTTATGGAGAGTTTAATTAGTTGGCATTGACCCTACAGATCACTGCATTCAACTTAAGACTTCTAGGTACTACTTGTGTGGTAGCAAGAGGTAGGGTATTGGTACCATGGCCATGAAATCCACTCTTCACAGTAGATACTGCATTGACCAGAATCTGCTGCCTTTATAGGACTTTGGAATGGCCTTTAAAGGCATATTGAAGTGCCAGCTAAGAGGCAATGCTTTACAATGCTAGGGGGCTATTTTTGAGAGTACAATGTTCACTTTAACTCAAACATCATTTTCTATTTTGCATTGTGTTACAATAAAATTAATTCATGGGTTCTGGGACCCAAGGATGGGAGTAGGAGCAACTCCACTTAACTTCACTCTAAGTGATTTGCTTGGGAAATTTGCATTTATACCCAACACTTTGGTCACTAATGGGAATGAATCGGTGATTTATAAACTTCAACTACTGACTGTCCACATTGAGATTCATTTTTCAGTCTCTTTGTTCACAAGGCAAGAAGAGAAATTCTATCCCTCAGCAGTAAATTATTTTGATCATCAACAGATAGAACTTTTGGAATCCAAGGAAAGCTGGGAAGAATGTATACGGCATGCAAATGTCTAACGAGCAGAGGCTGGAATTTCACCTTCTATAGAATCTGAGCAAAGGCTTGGAGGTAGCAGTAAGATTACTATGTGAGGAAAGAAAGACTAGCAAGATGGGCATATATTTAGACAGGCAAGTCTCACACTGCAACTTACGGATCATGGATCAATTTTAAAGGAGGGGAAGAATATAAAGAAACGTAAAGCAATATTGGAAAAAAGTCTAGCTGACATCTAACTGATACAGTTAGATGTAATCTTTATTTATTGATCCAGAAGATAACCAAACGTCAAACAGAAGGGGATAAAAGAACAAAGAATTTTAGGATAGATATTAAATGAGGTTAGTGTTTTAAAATAAATTAATTCACTATAATTTCTAGTTAACACTGAATCATGTAGGATTTGTGTTGTTGTTGTTGTTTTCCCCCCTAAAAGGTTCTGCTGACCTAGTGGTAAGAAGCTGTGCTGCAATCCCAAAGACTTGTAGTTCAAATCCACCAGCTGATCTACAGGAAAAAATAGGAGCAATCTCCTCCTGTGCAATTTACTGCCTCTGTAAACCTGATGGAGGGTCACCTATGAGTTGGTTTCAACTCCACAACACATCACCACCACAACAAATCTTGACTTAATTTCTCCACCACTTAAATAAGAAGGAATTTTGAAAGAATATAATTCCCTCATAAGCTCTTACTGTCATCACAGGTAGGTGTTTTGGGATTCCATCTGCCATCCCCTTGACAAACAGATACAAATGTATTATCAAACCTCCCATGACATGAGTATGTAACAGAATCTCCAAAGAAAAAGTCACATGGATCAGAGATAACACTTTTTTTCTCTTGAGTGATTTTTCCATTCTTCAGTTGTGGTACTGGACAACAGATCTCTAGAAGAATAAAATAAGAAAGTGAAGGTAATCATTAGTAAACACATCATTAGAGTCTCTTACGGAAGACATCCTCATTTCCACCAAAAAATTGTTTATATTATATTATTATTATCATATCATATATTATTTATATTCTATTCTATATATTCTATTATTTATATTGTATATACTATATGGTGTACATTATATTGTATATAGTATATATTATATTAATTATAGCATATTATTTTATTCTATTCACACACAGACACACACACACACACACACACACACACACTCCAAGTCAACTCTAGTCTCTGGCCCTCATTTGCTAAATTCTCCTCACCTCATTGCTATCATAACTGACCCTCCAGTGGGTTTGCAAAGGTTGTAAATGGCACAAGAGGAGGTTTTCCATCTTTCTCTCAAAGAGCCACTGATGGATTTGAACTACCAGAGAGGTAGCCCTTTCAGGTTAACAGTGCAACCCTATACCCACTAGAGCACCACGGCTCCCTGCTAAGTTTTCTAGCCCATATATTTCCCTCCAGAAATCCAATATTATCAATTAGATTTTAAGTTTGACTCCATGGTTCTCGAACTGAGTATTTTTAACTAGGCATCTTTGATATGAAAAGTAAATTATGCTTCATTTAAAATGCCTATATTACTGCAACAATGGATGAATGAATGAAAATACAACTCTGTAAACTTTCTTTAAAATCACAATTAAAATATGAAAACTGCCTATTTTTAAAAATTATTCAAGAACGTTAATTTTGGATCCAAGTAAAACTCAATTATTGACAATGTCAATTTTTGTCCCCAACTACCATGATGTTGCCTACTGGCCCAGTGGTGAGGACTTTTGTGTCTGGATGTTGCTCTGTAATTTGTATTGGCAATTGTAGTCTTTGATCGTCTACAATAAACATTTCAAGTTTTCTTCACTTTCAGTGAGCAAGGTTGTGTCATCTACCTAACTCAGGTTGTTGGTGAGTTTTCTTCCTATCCTGATGCCACATTCTTCTTCATATAGTCCAATTTCTCAAATTATTTGCTCAGCATACAGATTGAGTAGGTATAGAAAAAGGATACAGTCCTGATTCGTTCATTTCTTGATTTTAAACCATGCTGTGTTTTCTTGCTCTGTTAAGACAATTTCTTCTTGGTTTCTTCACCATTTTTCCTCCTTTGTTTTGACTTCTTGGCCCTCTGTGCAATATTCAGAGTCTCCCATTTAGGACTTTTCTTTCCCCCCATCCTTATAATGACCTTTTGTTTTCTTTATACTTGATATCATCCACAACTCATCTACACTTTGATCATTAGTGTTCAATGCCTCAAACCTAGTCTTGAAGTGGTTTTTAAATTCAGAGGGTATACTCTAGGTCATATTTTGGGGTTTATGGACTTATTTCCATTTTCTTCACACCTTTGTATTTACACATAAGTAATTGACAGTCTGCTCCACAGTCAGCACCTGGCCTGCTGGCCTGGCCAGTTGATACTGAGTTTCTTCAGTGATTTTTTTTTCCCCCTAAGATGTAGTCAATCTGACTGCTATATAGTCAGCCACGTAAGGTATATGTGTATGGTCACCTTTTGTGTTTCTTAAAACAGGTATTTGTGGTGAATAGATTATACATTGATTTTACAACATTCATTCTATCATTTTATAACAAGCCTCATTTCTGTCACCAAGTTCATAATTTCACTACCAGTCCTTCTTTGTTTCCAACTTTTGTATTCCAGTCACCAATTATTAATTCATGTTAGTTACATGTTCAATCAATTTCAAATTACACAAGGTGATAGAAATCTACAATTTCTTCATCCTTGGCTTCAGTTTTTGGTACATATCTTTGAATAGTAGATACAGTAACAAATCTCCCTCAGAAGATGCACACAGATAATATCATCTCCCTCACACTATTGTCCTTCAGGATGGATCTTGAAATGGTCTTTTTCACTACAAAAAGTACCTCGTCCTTCCTCAGTTATTCATTTTCAGCATACATCATATGATTGATTAAAAATGGTCAATGTCTGTCCATCTTAGCTGGCTAACAAATGTGGATCTCTTTGCATTCCATTTCTCTCTTTTTTCCTCCTTTTTTTTTACAACTACCAAATTTCCGAGATTCATGCCTTATCTAGTTCACATTCCAACTATTAAAGGATGTTTACACTTGTCCCTCCTACTTTTAGTGTCTTCCAGTCTAAGAACTGTACCCCCTTACTGTTTCAGAAGCAGATAGCCAATCCTGCTTCTTAGTCTGTCTTTATATGGAAGTGCTGCTGAAACTTGCACATCAGTGACCCTGCTGGTATTTTAAAGACTGGTCGCATAGCTTCCAGCATCACAGAAACTTGAAATTCACTCCAGGAAATTGACAGGCAAGTGTTGTGCTCATAAAAGCAAGCTATAAATAGGCACACATTTATAGACATTAGATCTAAAATAAACAGCAATATGCAAATCACTTCCTCAGCACAATACAGTGAAAACTATGTGTGTACCCCTAAGGGAAAACCATAAAGACAAGAATATAGATATCATGGTACGGACAGCAGCTTGCTTCCTCTGTCAGACATGGTCCCAAAGCCAAGGTAGCTGACTTCATCTGTCATGGCAAGATAATGTACAGAAAGCCACTTAAATTCTTGTTTATGGCCATGATTTTTTTAAATTGATGCAAAATGTAAGAGTGATGGCTATACACATTCCCCCAATTTTTAAGTACAATAGGAATTGGTATAGAATGGAATGTCTTTATTCATTGGTAAAAACACTTTCAGATAAGAACTTGATACTGTCTGATGTTAGAGGAAAAAATCAAAACAGAAGAACATATTCTTTCTCCAAATAAATCTGGAACTAGAGTAATGCTTAAAGAAGAACTTGTAGTTAGAAATTACAGACCTGATGACAGAAATGAGACTGGATATTGAATGATTGAATTCTGTATAATCACTGATTTATTCATAGCAGATACTGTTTCTAAAAAGTAGATGTTGCTTATAAAAAGTCATAAATGACAACTATACACATGTACCTCACCTGATACACTACACAGCAATCAGACTACGTTATGGAAAGATTGAATGGAGAAGTGCAAATTACCCATGTACAAATACAAATTGAGGCTGAGGAAAATGAAAACAAGTCCATAAGAACCAAATTACATCCTTGAATCAGCCGCACCTGAATTTGAAAACTGTCTCAAGAACAGATGTGAGGGTTTAGGCCACAAGTTACAGTCTGGTCCCCACGTCTGAAGGAGTTGTGGTTGAGGCAGCCGCAGACTGGAACGTGGCTCAGGAGCATGGGGCAAGTGCACGCACAACCGAGCAGCTGAGCCAACAATGCACAAGGCAGGTGCCTTGACAACTCACCCATCAGAAGCTACTAGGCAAGTCAGAAGTGAATTCTCTTGTCTCCAGAATAAATGTTCTTTTAATAGGGTCATCCAAAATATCACTTTATAACTTGTGTGCATTGTGAAATGCACAGGTTTTTCATATTTTAGTCTGTATAGTAAGGTAGAAGGGAGCTCTGGTGGCCTAGTGGCAAGAAGCCATACTGCAGTCTCAAAGGGGTGCATTTGAATCCACCATCTACTCTGCGGAAGAAGGATGGGCAATCTGCTTCTATGCAATTAACTGCGGCTGAAAGCCCACTGGAGGGTCAACCATGGGTCAATTGCGACTTAATGGTATGCAACAATGACAGTATGTGATTGTTATGTATTGTCAAGGTGGCGCTGACACATAGCTGACTCTGTCATGGGTTTTCAGAGGCAGTAAATCCCGTAGGAAAAGATTACCCATCTTTCACCCATGGAACAGCTCGTGGATTTGAACCTCTTGCCTTTGAGTTGGCAGTGCAATTCCTTACTACTAATCCACCAGAACAGTTCCAAGTTTATCTGGAGGCTTAAAATTATTTTCCGGAAGATTAGAGAATTGTTACAATCAATGTCACAAAGTGAGACATGTTTGAATGGTAGAGTGGACATCAATGGTAGAGTGAATAAACAATATGCTGTGTAGACTCTCATTATAGTTATGATAAAAAGTTAAAAAGATAATTCTAGCACATACTAAACAATACACAAAAAAGAGATTTAAAAGAAGAAGGGGAAGGGGGAAATCCTTACTCTCACAGCCTTTGAATGAAGTCCATGTCAAATCTTCCTGACATGTCATAGTCATAGGCCTTGCAATGGGTTTATAACCAGAATTGCAGCGGTAGGTGAGCACAGTCCCAACAGCATAATGTCCTTTTCTTAGCCTGTAGTTATCCCAATAAGCATGTGGAATGTCTGGCAAACCAACACAACTGTCTGTTCATAAAGGAAGAAACAAGAGAAAAGAACACTGTTACTAGAGCTGCCCCAGCAAACCATGAGGCCTTCAAAACAAAGACTGTAATGCACTCACTTATCCAACTAACCAGTAGCAGTGACGGACCAGCCATAGTAGAAAAACACACATGGACATGTGCTGCGCATGCACAGCACCAGAGAGGGGGCCTTCAAAACAAAGACTGTAATGCACTCACTTATCCAACTAACCAGTAGCAGTGACGGACCAGCCATAGTAGAAAAACACACATGGACATGTGCTGCACATGCACAGCACCAGAGAGGGGGCCATAGAAGGACTGCCATGTGGTCTCTGCCTTCCGTGCTGGCCACATAGTGTATTAATGCCCCTCCTTCAATGTGCTTTGTAAAGATCAGTGTTCATCATGCAGTATTATTCAAAATGTGTGACTCTGGAGGACGTTATGCTGAGTGAAGTATCTCAGTCACAAAAGGACAAATACTGCGTGGTGCCACTGTTGTAAAACAGGACTGACGTCGGGGTTGGGGGGAGACTGAGAAAGATGGTTTCAATAATGTATACTGCATTGAAACAGATGAGGGAGAAAACTGTTTAAAAGGGATATGTGATTAGGTATTTTTGTCATGACAGGAGTCCAGAACAAAGGCTGCATAGTGGAGTGGACCTGGGGGAGGGTTTGTAAAACAATGAAAGAGTTTTTCTTTTACTTTTCCAAGAGGGTAGTGTACTGGGGGGAAGGTTGGGAGGGAAGAAAAGTGCAACAATGAATGAATGGAAATCCAAAGTCTGTAAATTTTCATTCAAAGTAATAATAAATTAAAAAAAAGATCAGTGTTCAATTTGAAGCATGAGGCATGCAAGGGAAATGTGGCAGACAGACCAACTCTTTTTCTTATTCCTTGACTGGGGAAAATAGATTCATTTTTCTCACCCCAACACGTTACCATTGAAGGGCTTGGCAAGAACAGAACAAACTCCAAGCATTTTTAAAATTGGGCCTTTCTTGGGTCTTGTGTTTTTCCCTCCTTCCTGAAATCAGCAGTTTATATGATATGGAAATAGCATTCAAACCACTAACTGTCACACAGATGTTTGTTACGTTTTGTAATAAAATATTTTTAATGGCACCATTTGCCTCAGAGACTTGACAGTTGTTGCCCTAACATTTTTTATGACGTCCTGAAGCAAATTGCTCCACAGTCTGAGCCAGTTACAGTGAGGCTCCTTGGCACGGTGTTGCCTGTCATTGAGGCTTGTCTAGGGCAAAACTTCTCTGCTGAGTTAGGAACTATGGGGATGGGGCAGATGGATGTACAATGTGGCTATACAGGAGGTACTAGGGACCAGTACCTCTGTCTGACAGCAATGCCCATCTTGTATAGTTCTCAATGTCCCAGAGCCAAGGAAAGTGAGATTAATCAATTCCACTGGCTGTCAAATCTACACACGACGGCTCTTCTGTACAAGGAAGCTGGGGAGGATGGAAACTGCTAGGAGGCAGCCAAGGCCACAGAAACAGCTCTCCCCAAAATGCAGAGCTGCACAGGAAGAGTTTGGACTCTTCCTCAGACCTGTGCCCTCTCTATAGAGGGGGAATTGGGTGGGGAATAAGAGTGGTGTCCAGCTTCAGTCACCCATTCATATAGACCTTCTGCAGTAGGGCATGATGAAAAAACATGGTAAACACACTCCTGATGCTCCCTGGGTGCAGAATCTGCCAGAATAACTACCAGCCCAGGAGTTGCACGGCCTGGGTGATGTCCCTGTGTCTGAGTGCATGGCCTCTCACTCTTCCTAGGACATCTATATCTATATATATATTTTTTCCTCATAAAAGTTACCCCATTTGTTCTAAGTGTGTTTATGGCTTTCCAAAGATTTTTAGATGTTTTTCTTTAGTACTTTAAACTAATAGATATGTCTCTAGGACAGAGATTCCCTTGGATTCCTCAGATTGCTATTCTAGAAGCCTCCAGGGTAAGCTTGAGGCTTCATGAAGGCAAAGAAGGTAAACATATAAGACAGCAAAGGCTTCTACCCCTCACCACCACCTGGGCGTCACCAGGAACAAGTCACTTAACCTCTGTGAACAGTTTCTTCATCTGAGGAAACCCTCAAATGAGGGTAATAGGGGTACTTAAAATTATTGGGGAAATTTATACATTCTTATAGTGTATCTAAACCACTGCCAAGTTGTAATTACTACTGTCATTATGTTTACTGAGACATACAAGTTGATAATTTCTGAGTGACAGAATCTTAACCATTTTTTACATATTTCTTCCTCAAGACACTTTGCTTTTATCTTTCAAGACAGTACACTTGTCTTTCAAGTGCCAAAAAATTGTGATAAATAGAATAATCCACAATGTCTGCAGTGTGAAAGCTGCCCGTTTTTAAAATTTTTTTTTAAATTTTATTATTGTTTGTGTGTACCGTCAAATTGGCTCTGACTGGTACAGGAGGAGATTGCCCCTCTTTTCCCAGCAGAGCGTCTAGTGGGTTTGAACCCTGTACCTCTGGGATTGGGGAATGCTATCCTTAAAGAGTGGGTTGTGCACAACTTACAAAACTGTATATGCTAAAGTATGACCTTACACACAGTGTGCTGAAATTCTTCCCTCTCACAAGAAAACATAGAGGAAACTATGATCTATCTTTGAGTCACTACTGTGATTCAAAATGGGCTTGCATATGCAAATGTGTCCCCATTGACACTCTTGGGTACCTTTAGATGGTCTACCAAGCAATTCCTTCCTGGCCGCTACTCACTGAGCTCACAGGTAGGAGGAGAAGGCTTCCAGGTGTTGTCATCTTCACAATGTATTAGGCTATTTCCTCTGAGGATATAGCCATCCTGGCAGTCAAACAAGATCGAATCTTTGTAACGATAGATGGGGCCAAATCCAGAGCTGATTTTTCCATTTGGAACCTGTGGCTGAGAGCAAGTGACCTCTAAAGAATTGTAAGAAAAAACAAGGGAGTTATAAAAAAGAAATAAAAGTAAAATAAGTGAATGGTACTGTTAATCCAGTTTTAAATATATACTTTTACTACTTAATAAATACTTTGACTCATCAGTGTCACAGTGATTAATATAATACAATACAATATCTTGTCTCTGGAAACCCTATGAACCTGGAGAAAGAACAACAGTTATACCAATGTCCAGGACTTTTGTTCATAGGGTCGGTGTGATTCGCCTATGACTCGATGACACTTAACAACAACAACAGCATCATAGAGAGAGAGAGCAGTTGGCCTAGCGGACAGAAAGTCATGCTCCCAAGCCAAAAATGGCTGACTCTACTCCTCGGCCCTCAGGCCTGCCTTTAATCGTTTTTGGTGAAACATTCTTCTAGGTCGTGTAACCCTGGTTTGTCCACTTGCTGTACAGAGGTAACTTGTGGTTGCTGTGAAGCCGAACAGTGTGACACTGATGAGTCAAGTGTGAGAATGATTACCCATGGTGGACAGAGTTTGTGGCGCTCCCCAGTTAAAACAAGCAGGAGTGGCATCCACTTCCACAATAGCTTGCCTCGGGAAACCCTATGAACCTGGAGAAAGGACAAAATTTATACAGGTATCCAGGACTTTTGTTCATAGAGTTGCAATGAGTTTCCTATGGCACTTAACAACAACAACTCTCTCTCTCTCTCTCTCTCTCTCTCTCTCTCTCTCTCTCTCTCTCTCTCTATATATATATATATATATATATAGCTGTTGTTATGTGCCATCGAGTCGCCTGCGACTCATAGCGATGTGTGTGTATACACACACACACACACAAATATATACATATTTGTCATCACCCATCTGTCAGCTTGCTGTACCATGGTCACTTGTGTGAAGCTACGCCACCAATCTTTCAAATTCCAGCAGGGTCACCTTTGGTGGACAAGGATCTGCGGGGCTTCCAAATGACAGTAGACTAGGAAGAAAATTTTTCTATTTCTGGAAATGAGCAGATTCTGATTTAGGTCCATTCCATGTGTTACAGAGTAGAGCAGGAATAATCTATAAGTAGATTGCCAAGCCGTTCTTCCACAGCATCTCTGGTTGGTTTCAAACATCCCACCTTTAGGCCAGCAGTGGTTGTGAGCCAGCTGCATCCGGAGACCACGAATACCCTCAACTGGTCTCCAGTCCCACTGCTTTGGCTGCACTTGGAGGTACCCTGACTTTTTCCCTTAGTCATCACAACATGTGCTTTTTGATCTCCTGAAATTAATCTTAAGACTGAAACTAATCTTACTAAATCTCAGACATTCTTTCTGAAATATAACACTTTTGTTCCCCTACGTACTGTCTCATCTCCCAGCTTTGTTCTGAACTCCTGAGAGTAATGCGTTAGGCCCTTCCTAACCTGGCCCTCTCTAACCTTCCAGCCTCAGCTCCTGACACCTCTACAAGGTATGTAGACTCTGGGCATTTTGAACTGTTTTCAGTGTAATGTTTCAACATAATTTCTGTATCATATTTTTTCACCATCCTTTTTGACTATGCCTGTGGTATGTCAGAACATTAAGTGATATTGTGTGAGTACCTGATAGCAAAGGAAGATAGCTTAGCACAATATAATAATAATATATTTGGGCTCCTTTACTGCTGCTTTGCACCATTGACCTGGTATATGTGGTCATTAATTGTCAATGGTCACGGCATGAACTTCTGTAAGTAATCCTAAAGATCAGCCAATTAGTATTTCTGCTTGGTTATAAAATATATTTACTTTTTTGTTGTGGCATTTTAAAAATCTTTATTCGAATGAAAGTTTATAACAAAATTGACTTTTCATTCCCTCATTTATACAGGTTTACCCCCCTTGTCTCCTCCTTCGTTCCCTAATGCAGCCTACACCAGCTTGTTAGTTGCATTACTCATAAGGTGTTATCGCCCATTCTTTTCAGAATTGTCTTCCCTTTACCTAGTCCGTATTCCTTATCTATGCATTTTCTTCGCCTGCCTCCAACACCCCTTAATCCTCTTGATTTGAGTAATAATATAGACTATCTTTTCATGGGCTTGCTGGTCATTTGGTGAGATCTCTATTCACTTCCTTTGCCCATTTTAATTATGTTGCTTTGCTTGTCTTTTTGTTGTTCAGTTGGAAGGGCTCTTTATATATTATGGACATTAAATTTTTATCTGATATATGGCTCTTTAATTTTTTCCCCAATCTATATAGCGTCCCTTCAGTTTGTCGCACTTTTTTTTTTTCATTTTAATGAGGGTAAATTTTTTTTCCTGCTCCTGTTTCTGGTGTTCCATGGAGATATTGTGTAGTCCATCTACTAGGCTTTCTGACATCTAAACTAATGCACTGTGGAGAGTCTCCAGGAAATGCAGCAAACTTCATATAAATGAGAAACCTTTGCTTCATAAAGTCACTGAGCTATGGGTGCTACGGCAAATCTGTACTGACATGGCATGTTGTAAATCTCAGATGACTACATAAATGGCTGCATCATTGTGGTATTTATTTTGTCCTTCAGTTGCTCCACTATATACTTTCTTTTTCCTTTTATACAAAAAAGAATAGTTCAAAGCACAAATCCTATCCATGACTTACTTTTACAGGTAGGAGGGCTTGGGCTCCAGACACCTATTGTTTTATTTTCCACCATGCAGGAAATGGAGGCTTTGCCTATGAGTGAGAAGTTGGGGTCACAGCTGTAGGTGACTGAAGAGCCATAGGTATAGGAATCTTCTCCACCATTGTGCTTTCCATTGTTGATGGCCGGAGGAGGCTCACATCGTGCAGCTGAGAGGAGGCAATTGGGAGAAGTAATCAGAAAAGGCACAAGCAAAAATCTGACATGCAAGACTCAAATTCTACTGGATGGGCCATAATATAGCAGAGACACATGGACATTTTCTTCTATAATATAAGTTAGATTCAAGTCAGAAAACAAAAATCTTTACTTACTTACACATATTGGGAGAGGATTGCTCCAGTCAACTCCTTTGTCTTGGATGTCACAGTAACTAGTAGTAGGACCAATTAAGATATACCTGAATAAAAAAAAAAAGATCAAATATTTTAACAGAGTTCTTTATCTCCCAAATTAAATTGGATAAAGGGGTCTTTACAAATAGAATTGTTACTCAGCATTAAAATTTAAAAAGCAATGTTTCTTAGGTGATTTTTTTAGCTTCCTATTTGTCTCATCATGACCATCAAATGAACACATTCATTCATTTATTTTTAATACATTATTGAGCCTCAACTGGGTGTTGAGTTTTTAATTCATCTAGACTTGATTTGTGCAATGTTGAGTAAAAGACTCACTTGAGTTTTAATTGTGGTTTTCTTTGGATAAGAGGACCAGCTACAATACTTAACCTAAAGTATTATATTCTCTATTGAAATGCTGATCTCACTTCTAGATCTTGGTTTATGCTTATTATCCATTAAATCCCTGTTCATCAAAACACTTTTTCTAAATCTTAACAGGTCCCGAATTTTTTTTTCTGATCTTACTGTCTCTAGAGAAAGTAGAGGAGAAGAGGAGTTTTTAACAACTTCAGTTTGCTTCGTTCCACAATTAACACTCATGGTACTGTTGTTGTTGTTGTTATGTGCCATGGAGTCGTTTGCAACTCATAGCGACCCTATGCACAACAGCCCTAAACCCTGCTCTATCCTGTGCCAATCGCACTTCCTCTGACACACCCATCCCAATTACCCCAGTCACTGAATCAATCCACCTCATAGAGGGTCTTCCCCTCCTGTGCTGTCCCTCTAACCTACCAAGCATGATGTCCCTCTCCAAGGACCTGTCTCTCCTCGCAACATGTCCAAAGTATGTCAGATGAAGCCACAGAATCCTTGCTTCCAAGGAGTAGCTTGGTTTAACCCTCTCCAGGGTGAATCTGTTTGTTTTCCTGGCAGTCCATGGTACATTCAATACTCTTCTCCAGCACCACAGCTCAAAGATGTCAATTCTCCTTCTGTCCTCCCTAGTCATTGTCCAACTCTCTGATGCATAACAAGTGATTGCAAAAACCATGGCCTGTATCAGGTGCAACTTAGTCTCCAGAGAGACACCGTTTCTCTTGAGTACTTTAGAGAGGTCCCTAACAGTAGACTTTCCCATCGCAATACGTTTTTTGATTTCCTGGATGCTGGTGCCAGGAGTGCTGACCGTGGAGCCGAGCAAACTGAAGCTGTGAACAATCTCAATCTCTTCGCCATCCATCCTGATGCTACCAATTGGTCCAGTGGCGAGAATATTTGTCTTCTTGACATTGAGCCTCAGTCCATACTGAAGGCTGCAGTCCTTGACCTTCTGCAGTAAGTGCTCATGGTACTAGCAGTCAGGAAATAAAAAAGTGAATTGTATTAGGAAATCTGCTGTCAGAGACCTCTCTAGAGTACGGAAGAGGAAAAATACCAGTCTGGATACTAAAGTGCACCTGATACAGGCCATGGTCTTCACAATTAGTTGTTTTGCATCAGAGAGCTGGACAATGACTAAAGATGAAAGTAGAAGAAATGATGCTTTTGAGTTGTGGTGCTGGACAAGAGTGTTGAACATATCATGGACTGCCAGGAGAATAAACAAGTCAGTTGTGGAGAAGGTGAAACCAAACTTCTCCCTGAAGGCAAGGATTTTGAAGCTCTCATACTGTGGGCACGTGGACAGAAGAAGGACATCATGCTTGGAAGGGTGGACAGACAGGAGAGAAAGACCTGGGATGAGATAGATTGATACAGTAACTGGAGAAATAGGATTAGGTCTGTCAGAGATGATGTGATTGGCTCTGGATGGGGCAGGATTCAGAGTTATACATAGGATCACTATGAGTCACAGGCGACTTGATGGTACACAACAAAAACAACAAAAACAAACTTTCTCCAATGTTTTATGATAACAAACAGAAAAAAAACATTGCTAATTTTGTTTCAAATTGTGCCATTATCAGAAAATCAACCTACAATGTAATTGGAACACTGAACCAATTGTTGTTTCCCATAATCCAAGAGTCTTTAGGCAATTTATTGCACACCAGAAACTTAAAGAAAATAGAGTTTTAAATATTATAGCTAGGGGGAAAAATAACTTCTTCATTTGTAAAGTTTCTTAACAAAGTTATTTTTCTAATTTATTCAAGAGATCAGTTTAAGAGCATTCATTGCCTCTGATTATTCCAATAAAAATGTGGTGGCACCTTTGTTCTGATCCTTCTCACTTTCCCTCTTGGGAAGTCATAAAATACAAGGAGGAAAGGAATAAGAACAACAATGTTATTGACCCAAACCTACATTTTTTCATATAAATGGGGGGAAGAAAATGAAATAATCAAAACTCATTTAAAATTGTACAAGTCTGTAAAAACACGAAGAAAAGACATGCATAATTGAACAACAAACTCCACATGTGAAATAAAATGCTGTAAGAAGGAGTAAGAGTCTACCAGTTGCAGATCTCAGGAAACACTGTCTGAACAGGGCACCTACCTTAAGTGGAAAGCTTAGTACTAAGTAAGAGCAAGTAAGTGAATATAGCTGGCTTGCAAAATACTCAGAAATATACTGGTAAAACTCGGAAAATTCCACAAAAAACCAATATATTTTCTAAACATTAACAGAAGGAAGTCATTGAGTTTCTAATCTGACTACCAGCTCTTCACTGTTCTACACCACAAAAATAATTGTAATGATTGATATAGGATAGTATAACGCACTCAGATATAAGAAATAGAAAAGTATTAGCACAGCAGTAATTAAAAAGAATCAAAAGAGCAGCAAAACTTTCCAACAAGCAAATTAAATATTTGCTCATTTGGTCTTCAACTCCTTAATTCTTTCATTCAATAATTTCATACATAAAAACTGTAATGTATATGCCAACATAATATTTTTTTAAGGTAAAAAGTAAAGATAGACACATTAGAAAGAAAGGGATGGACCCCTCTTCTTGAAAAGCAATATGGAGGAGAGGCTCAACATAACATTTTTAAATGTTTTTGAACTGGAACAAGCTGTTTGGCTTCTGAGATTCTGCAGCTGGTGTTCATGAGAGCCCAATTCCAAGACATGAGGTTGAAGTATGCTCACGCATAGCAATCAGTGGACGTGTGAGGAACACAATAGAAAAATCGGCTGAGCTTGAACATGCTCTTTCAGTACTGCCCGTCAAGCATGCACAGTTGTGTGGCTAAGGAGGGAGGGGTTATCGGCTTAAGAAGCAAGGAGTTGTGAGTGTCCCTGGCTGGTTGATTTGACTTAATCCCATGTGGTGTAAAAGGAGCACTGGTAACATGGGGAAGACTGAGTCTGATATCTACCTGCTTCATATAGGGGAACTGTCCCCATCAATAATGTCCATTGTACCAAACAAATAGCTACCTAGTCAGGCATGCCACACCCCACCCCCATGCTTCTGAACCTGTTTCTGTGAATTATTAGATACAGTGTTTGTCGCCAATTGACTCACAGACTTTATTTAGAGTTGCAGAGTTGATTAGGGAAATAAGTTGGGGGAGTGAAGGAGACAAAGGGTATAGTGAAAGTCCAGGTTTAATGAACAGCAGCGCCAAGACAGACTAACATCAAGACACAATTCCTCAATTACTTCAGACAACTTCTCAGTCAGCAAGTGGAAAATCTAGATTCAGTTCAGCAACACAAATAAACCTATGGTTTCCTCAATAATCCAGCAAGCTTTGTCTCATAAAAGTCACAAGTCAGCCCTTCTTTCCATTGTCTGGAAGCAAAACGTTTCACATCTCCATTTCTAGCATTCTGTCACACTATACTGTGTATACACAGTCTCTTCACAGTCTCACCAGTCTTGCCACAGTCTGGAAAGCATTCCCTCTTATATTGGTCCCATAGCTATTAATGATTTACAAGACCATATCTGCAGTTGAGGTAGCTGGAGGCAGTGTCTCCAGTGGAGGCTAACATAGTGCATAGGAAAGCCACTCTGAAAGTAATTTACTGATACCACATTGGGTCTAGGTTTGAGTGAGAAGACCAACTGGTCTGGAATGCAGGGAGAAATTTAGGCTCCTGAGCTAGCATCTCATGCCCATTTGAACCTAGCCAAAGATGGCTGGGGATGAGTTGACCAGAATTCAGATGAAGAAAACATGATTCATGCTGTGAGCTAGGGTCTATTGTTACAACCTGATGGCTTGCTCTAGATTGGTCATTGCTTGTCGATACAGATGCTCAATTTCAAAGTTGTACAGAGGATCCTTAAGGAAAAGAGACATGTTTGTTCTCTCAGAATACTGGTTTGAGAGGAATTAACTATCTAAAAGAAGGATTTTAGGGCCTGGGGCATGAAGTAGCTCATACTTTCATGAAAGTACTCATTAAGATGATTATAAGGGGTGGTGTGAATGTACGAAATGTAAATGAAAGACTGTATAAAATGCAATGTATATTCATGAAACATAATTTATATAACTGATAAAAGTATTAGTAAAAAAGAGAAAATTAAATATACACTTTCACAGCTTTAAATAAAAGTTTGTGAAGCAGTAAGAGAACTGTACATATACAGTTAAACGTCTTTATGTAATCAGTAAAACACAAGTAAATATCTTGCTGATAGTCTCTGCTTTAAGTCAAGATCCATTTTATGTTAATAATAGTCTTTATTCTATGATGTCTGCTGAATATAATCATATAAAAAAGCAATAAAAAATACCAAAACCCCACTCAGTATACTTAAGTAAGATTACTTATATTGTCATTGTCTATTAAACTTATTTTAAAGCTTCAATAACTAAATGGCTATTAAATTTATTGAAGAATATATAGACAGAACAATGGCATTGAATAAAATATCTAGAAATGGGCTCAGAATGGAAATATATATCATATTAAAGAGGTCTCTCTGACCAATAGTTTGAAGATGGATTTCTTAATATGATGTTGGGACAGTAAGAAGATCATATGGAAAAATTTAAGCTAGAAACTATATATTATTGTCTCCAAAGGAATCACAAGAAAACCATATGGAAATTTTCAGCTAACATCTACACCTTACGTTAAG